ATACTAGTTTTAAAGGCATACCCTCCCTCGGTGTATGACAAATATTAATATTTATTTACATGCATATTATACCACCCACTCACTGCCTTAGATAAGCCAGTTTTTCATAGTCTAACAGATAAACTGTCTTCTGTTGTAACATTTAGCAATTACATTCAGGTCTCCAAGCTAGCTCCTGGATCTTCTATCTAGTATCTCTCAATTAGGCAGAATATTGTCATTAAAACCTAGTTTCATTTGCTTCATATTGCTTGGGTTTTATTTTTCAGTTTATTTTATACACACACTACTATTATATACACTTCAAAATTTACTGAAGTGCAGTAAACTATGAGACGTTATAGATTTACAAGCACCTAGTCTTGGTTGACTTTAAGTGGAAGTCATCAGCCACCTTAACAATTGCTATGGAGAGAGTACATCTGGTTACGAAACAATGCACGATTACTCGGATAAGATGAAATTGCTCTCTAAAACAGCTGGTCAATTTTAGTAGAAAAAACCCGGCTATCCTGCTGGAGACGGCAAAGGACGTAAAAGCAAAAGCAATTTTATGGTCAGTTTCCTTCCCTGTGTTGATGCAACTTTGGTTCTGATTCTTTTCTTTTAAATGTTGAAGAGCACCTGGTTTAGTGACAGCACACATGCAATGCCTCACAGTGGTAAGTGATGCTGCTAACAAACCATACACTGCAACTTTCAACTGTTAATAGCATTTAACCAGTCAATTCACAGAAATATTTTTGTTAATAAATGTACAGTTAAACACAATCTACTCTGAATGCAGACTCAAATTGCATATAGCAGTGACTGTGCAAAGCCTGTCATTCAGGTAGTCTCTTCCAACATTAAATTAAACAACATGGATTTTCATAACTGTAGTGTTTGTTTTACCTGCAAGGATGAGATGGAACAATCACATGAAACATTACTGGGGCAGAAATGTTTGATTTCTCTCAGGAGCCAGAAAAATCAAATGAGGAAACACACATTTCACAAGCAAACTGGCTTTGTGCCTCTCAGACTTATTGCTTCAACTCGTATCGAGTGAGCGAAAGTGCAAGATCGCAGCTTGCAATCTGATATGTGCCAGCATAGAGTTAAAACTGATGCCCACAAGGGCTCTGGATGCGAATGAACCTCTGCTCAAACAGCAGGCTGCAAGACCAGGGTGTTCTTGTGTTAAAAGACAGAACCCCTTAATGAACATTTCAAAGCCCAAACTGGGTCACCATCAAAAAATGCGTGTTTTAGCAAAGGTTGCCAGTGCATCACAAGCTAAATCGGCTCAGCAGCAAAAGGCAGCATGGGAATATGCTCTTCTGGAGTTTAACAGGGGTTGGAGAATTCAATTCTGCAAGATTGCCATGTTATTGCTGATTTTTTTACAGTCAAAATGAAAAGACCTTCACACAATACAATGCCATCCAGTAAGTAATACGCACTAAGAACCTGATAGTTCATCTCTCACTCTTAAAATACTCTAATTCAAAAACATAAAATCTGTCACAGTATTATCTAAAAACATCAATGTCTTCTTATCTTTTTGTAGTAAATACAAAATCTAAATGGTTAGAATACATTCATGTTTTAGGAAAATTATTTTCTTATTTCTATCAAAGGTTAGAACAACAACCCATGATAAAAAATGCTACTACTCTGTTCTATCATGATAACAGAGATTAATGCAATTTACTATTGCACTATGCAGACTGAATAGTGCTAGTGTGTGTCCAGTAACAGATCATTTTACAATCATCTGCTATTCAACTGACTATTATTCTCAAGTGTCCATACCTGTTATTCTCATTAGGATTTTGGCATTTATGTTACATTCTAACATTTATGAAAAACTATGGCTTTTTCCCCACAGAGTATACATGGACTATGCAAATCTTTATAAACCATTTACTTTAAACAATAAACTGGGCTGAAATGGGGATTACTTGATGATGTCAGAAGCAGCGTTTCCACTAAACTCAAGTTCTCAGGGTTAGATCACAATTATCTGCATTTGTGCATCTGTCACAGTCAATTTTTAAAAGTAGTTATGCAAAATGTAACACTGATAAAATTCCAGTTTTCTAGCTTTAGTCTGATATTTTTTTTATTTTTATTTTTTGCAAACATGGTTAATCACTTGTATCCAAAGTGTCATCTGTGCGTAACTGAATTATAACTGGATTGGGACTGTAAGAAATCCACACATCTAAGAAGGCACTTGTCTTCCAGTGATTCAAGTCAGATAAGGCCTTACCAAACCAGTCGCACCTTACACTCTGAATGCCCTCAGGCTCTGCAACAGTCTCCAAACCTGTTTCCACTTCACTAGCAAAAGATACTAAATGTGGTTTACAGTACAACAAAGCTCAAAATGAATTCCAGCAGCTTTTGTCGGTTGTGCTGAGGTAGGAAAGTACTGCTCAGTTCCAAAATAGTCTCCCTCCTTTGTCTGGTCTCCTTGAAAACCTAAAGCATAGGAACAAAGACATGGATGTTACTGAACACCTTCAAGCAAAGTCCCTTATTATTTGTAATGGAGAATGTAGAGAAGTTTATGAGCTATCTTACAACAGCTGCTCACTACAATCAAGCATACACTATAGCAAATGATATGGATTTTTCTCTCTTTCTAGCACAAGAGCTGACAGTCTTCTAGATATCTTTTGAGTCCGCTTATCATTGAGGCATAAAACAGCATGGAAGAAAGAGGAAGTTTGACACAGAGAGAAGCTGTAATTTGGAAGAAAGGTCTGGAAAAACCCATCTTTTGAAAGATTCTTTCTGAGCAAGGGAGCATTAACATTAGTCAACTGAAACTAGAGTTGGCAAGCCAGTCAGCCGATGGGTCAAATACTGTCGACTGACTAGGTCAATTGGCTATATATTTTTTGACCAGTCAAAGATTATAGCAATTTTACAAAAAAAACCACTACTTTTTTGTAGTTTTCTTGACAGAAATATTTTTTTTGTTGTTTTTTGACACACTTCTTAATGGAAAGTTTGTTCCTTTTTCTATGTCTTATTTGGACCTACTGGCATTTTTTTTACAATTTTTAATTGATATTTGACTGGTCAATTGACCAAGCTTGATTTGACCAGTGAAATACCCAACAGAAGTATTAAAAAATGATGGAATTCAAAAACAAACTGCAATGTCTCCTGTAAGGAAAACCTTGGCAGGCAGGACTTTTTTGTTCTCCATTTGCAAGCACCTTGTTTATGAGAAACTCTTTGTGGAAAAGCGTGCAGTGTATGATAATCAGACTAGTACTCACAGCTGTTATGGGATACAATGTGATTGAAGGCAATGTGTAATTCAAACTCAGTTGTCTATTTTAAAAACAAGTGTTTGAATTAAATGCTACGAGCAGATGCAAGAACAGATGTCACCTAGTACCATTATCCAAACAGCACTGCAATATGCTAGGTTTGATGAATGCTTTCATAAAAGCAGCTTCCCAAAGTGCATTTAACAGTCTCTAGAAACTTGCCTTCATTCCACTAGCTCATTTAAAACTCAAGAAATCAGGACCAAAGACTTGAAAGGTGTTTAATAACTCTTACTTAGTATTCTTTTGCCTAAACTCAAACTTTCAAAATAGGGGGAAAAAAGGTCTTTATCTTACACTCAGGAAGTCCATAAGATTGCACAGCAGTAGACAAAAATACTGCTGTGGAAAATCCAGACAGACAGTTCACAATTCAAGGTGTTAGAGATCATTTCAGATGTCCTACATGCACCAGTTATGCAAGAGACCAATTCTATCATGATTTTCCCTTGAAATTTGAGGTTCACAGGGATGGTCTACTAGCTTTCGCACCATCTCATCGACCAAGACATGGCAGCACCACAGTCCACCATGGAAGTTTCTCACTTCTTGTCATTTTTCTCAGCAGCGGTAAGGGCAATGTTACCCTTCTCCTGAAGCCCTAAAAAATCTATAGAATGGGAATCTCCAAAGATGACAGGCTTCCTGGACACTGGCTGCAAACAGATGCTACTTTTGTGCCAGCATACATTTTTTTATGGTGGCACAAAATCCAAACTAACACCCTTGTTCCTTGTTGCATCACATATGACCAACATTTCTAGTACAGTAATTGTTTGTGCACTTTTTGCAGCGGATGTCTGTTCATTTATGGTGCGGTTTATACTTCCGCCCCAGCCACCTGGACAGGAAGTTCTGGGGATTCAGAGTCCCAATCCTACAGGACAATGGCCCCAGGCAATGTTGGTCACTGCCCATCAATTGGATTAGCTGTGCTGGGACACAACTCAGCATGACTGACCCTGCCAAAAAGACTAAGTGTGTTGCTTGCAGCCTATTTTTCCAGGACTTTCTCTAGTGCAAACAGTCAGATATAACTCTTTTCTACTTTCTGCCTTTCAAAAACAAGATGCATGTCTTATTTGGGGGCGTGAAGTACGCAAGAAAATGCAGAACTAAAGCCCGTCATTGCACAGGATTCCTGGGCAGTCAGTCTGGATTTTATTAGGTCACCTTTGAATGGATTCTGCTGTATCAAGTTTTGACTATAAAACACTTACCCCCATATCCTTGAAGACTTTCACAGCATTTTTCACAAGGCAATAGGTAGCACTCTCAGCTATGAGATGGTAGGGGAGAAAACATTTGTGGTTACATTTGGGACACTGATGTAATGAGGAATGATAGAAATAAAATCAACAAATGAAATCATGACTCGTTTTTTTCAGGGAGATGGTGTCAGACTTACCATACATCGCAACATTTTTCTCTGTCCTGCTTATTAAGTATTTGTGTAGCTTTTGTAGATACTCCCTTTCTGATACGGGGCCGCTAAAGCTGTGGATAAAGGCAGCAGCAGAGCTGTACGCCTCCAATAAAGGCCCCAACAGCCTTTGCAGGAAGGTGATGTACTGCTGGTGTTCCTGAGACTGGCTCACCTAAGTAGAGGCAATGGCAACACATGTGAATGAAGCTGGCAGAAGTGAAAAGGTGAACAGAGATACACTAAACACCAAAATAGTATACATGGGTGGGTTATAGCCAGTCACTAGGAATTCTGGGAGACAGTACATGAAATATGACTGCTCATTATTACTGTAAATGAAAACGCAGATGTTTAAACATAAAGAAAACCCCTCTACAAAACACACATATAGTCACACACATTCCCCACCCTCCTCAGGCCATTAACTGCGTAATATTATTTTACTAGTTAAAAACAGTTAAAGAGGCCATTATGCTTCGCAATAAATAGCACAATCACATTTCATTCTTTTAGAGATGAGTGCTGGCTTCCATGTACTAATATCTCAACTGTACTTCCGTTAGGTCAACAAGAAAATTAATAATTTATTTTCCAATAAACAACGGAATCAGGTTTCTAGCCAGGATGTATGCAGTGGTATTTGTAACCGGAAACCTTATTTTCAGGGATGGTTTGGGTCACTAATTACTTTGTGTACACACATACATACACACCATAAAAATACAGTATACTTATGGAATAACACACCACGAATCAGAAAAATACACACTAACAGTGTATGCCCACCTTTGGTGCATGTGTTATTAGTAATATAGTACAATCTTTAGGACCCTTTGGGATACTAAAGCCTGTAGCAGCTTTCACCACACTGGCCATTCCACCCCAAGTTATGTAGACTTTGCCAGCAGATTATCTGAAGTTTCCTCAGAGAGCTGGTCTTTTTCAGGGAAAAAAGGAGGTTTTACTGATTGTAGCAGACTATTGCTGACTTTAATGCTGGGAATGATCAGAAAGAGAAATCTTATTATTTTCCCCCAACTGAACTGATAAGCTGAGAGTTACTTAACTTTAACTCTAAAAACATGCCTCGCACTTGTTGATAACCTTAAATACGGTACCTTGAGATAACAGTCCCTTTGTTCTTCTCCGAAGTCACTATCTTCATCCTCCTCATCACTCCTCCAAGACAAAGGTTCAGGAAGTTTTTTATCCCATTGCTGCTCTGTAAGACTTGGGCTAAGATCCTCCTGATCATCCTGCTAAAATTCAGAAGGACAAAGGGGTAAATACACAGAAAAACAAACTCTGACTCTTAAATCGTACATGGCCCAGTCAGTTTGGTGACTTGTAAGTCCTTAATGCACTGGATAGTGCAACAAGAAATAGCTGGCTGAGATACTATTGAGACCAGACTAAGGTACGTGGAAGGTTGTTTTTGCTCCTCTGAATGGAAAAGGTGCCCCATCCAACTTGCTCTGGCAATTCCAAGTACCAAAAAAAACTAAGACTTGTCCTTCCTCTGTGTTTAGGTGGGAGGTTAAGAGTTTATTTGGACATGGACTTTGTAACAATTGCCCATAACTATCAACTCAAGGATGAAATGCTGAACTGGACTTACATGCTGCTATATATGCAGACCACTTTGGAAATTCAGCTAGTACAGAACACAGCCATAAGCTTGCAAGTAGTAATTACAACCATCTCTTAGCTTTGCAGTAGCTGAAAACTCCAAGAGTTGATTTTAATCTAAATGGTTTGAATCCTGCCTACCTGAGATACAACATCTCTCTGTACAGTGTATCACATCTACTTGAGCAGGTAGCATTCAGGTCTAACATGGCAATGCATTTTCAGAGGAAGTCTCGACTCTAACTTACTTGCCTGTTTGCAGTCTCTGTGCTGATCATCAGAGCATGCTAGTGTATTCTTCCTCTAGCTTTAGATGGGATGCATGTTTGGCAATGCTTTCAGTGAAGTGATCTTTATACTTCTGAAAAGGTGAGGGACTGGGGAGATTTCATAATTTCCCTAATTTTTAAGACTTTTTCTTTAACATAGAACTAGGACAGGGACATATTTAGACATCCAAAAAATGAAGACATGCAAACAAGTAAATGAGCTGCCATAAGACACTAAGGTTTTTAGCTGGGTAACTTCTGACAAAGCAGTATGTCCAGATTATACTGTGAAGTGCAGCAGCCTTCTTATGACTCTGAATACACTGCATTAACACTATACACAATGCATTCTTATGCAATTGTATTAACCAAAAATATAATCTCAGAGGATAGGCTTCCTTTGGTTCTGTTGTTAACACTGCTGATTTTTTTTGCAATTCATTTAGACTGAACTGCTGTATCTTACATTTCCTAATAATGTACCCTTAACTGAAGCTGGCTGCATAGAGAAATGGGCATTTTACTGACTTAGAAAGGCATGATGTCAGTTGTAGATCAACTCTTGTACTTAAGCAAGAAAATGTCTACCTGCAACAAGAAGGGGTTTCAGATTTTTTTGAGACTAAATAGTCTCAAATCTGTAGGCAGTTGTGTTGTTCTTGTGTTAAAGAGCATTATACTCACTGACATGAAATTTTTACAAAGGCTGGTAAAATAATTGGAGGGCTTGTATAAGATCGATACAATTTAGAAGCAGATCCTGGTGTCAAGAAAAGGACTGAAGATATCCAAAGTAAATGAGAAAAGTGAGTTAAGGAGCCGATTAAGTTAAATGACCCTGGAAGAGCTTTAGGCGATGATGGAAATGGCTGAAATTTAACAGTGTAGGAGGAGCTTTTGAAGAAATTCATGCTGAAACACTGAAAACCTGTCCTAGCAAAAAAAAGCGCATTTTAACAAGGTGACATACTCTGTAGGTACATGAAGAGGTAACCTAGTGAGGTACAATACAAGTCAAAAGTATCCAAGGATCAGTATGTTGATAAATAGCCAATTGAGAGGACATAGTATGGAAAACAACTGATATTTTATATCCTCAGATACAAACCCCTGGAAATGTTAAGCACATGTTCAAGAGAAAAAAGTAATTTCAATCCCAATGTTTTACACTCACATTTGTTTGAAAAATGCTTTAAGATCTAATGAGTGACAAGTATATGGAGACAGACTCCACAACAATTCTTATGCTGAAAAGCGTGATTAAAGCCCAGATTTACCTGAGAGAAGCAACAAAAGCAGCAGAAAAGGGAAAAAAAGAACTGGAAAAAAAAAAAAATGTTATGTAAGGAATGTTTCAGCTCATAATGGACAATAGAGGAGGCACTGGAATAAAACGGGAAAAGGAACCATGAAAACGTACAAATAGCACTAGCAAGTTCAACTGACTAGGAAATTTATGTATATTTTATGGTATCCACCGTAAAGAAATCAAATGTAATAATCAAAAGATGCTAAAGTAGAAGTCTCTCTGAGAGATAAGGCTTAAAAAGTACCAAGAAAATATATCCAAAACTGTAGGGAACAATACGCTTTTCACAATTTGCTGCTGACAGCAAAATAAATTGGAAATCAACATCTGTATCCTTTTCTTCTAGTCGATAAAAAATATTTACACTATACAGTGGCCTTGCTGAGTGAATTAAGGAGAAACGCACAGGGCAAGACAGCACGTGGGTTTTGCAGAAAAGTAAGTAATATAACCACGGTAGGTACACTATCTATATGTCTGATGAAGACTGAAAGCACCAGAATAGAAAATGTGAGCATAAAACACATTTAAAAAGTAGTGGAGTGGCTTGGAGACAGTAATGAGGATACCTTTCAGAAAGTGGCAGATCTAATAGGTCGAGAGATTATATTAGGACAATTGCACAGAACAGTCAAGAGATAAGGATATCAACATGTCTGAACTGATACAGTAAACAAAGATGCTAAGGTAGAAGAGTCTGTTCTCATTTTGGTCAAGGGAAGCACCAAAAAAAATGAGTAAAAACATCCAAAAATTCAATGCCAGGAACAGCAATACAAAAGCCCGCATAAAAGAAACAGGAGACAATTGAAATGGTGCTGTTTTAGTCTAAGAAATCTGATGATGGGAACAATATTCTCTTTTTCTAGCATTCAGATACCACACTAAGGGGTCTACTATAAGAACCCAGAGGGATGATGCGTGTCACCATTATTTTAGCTTTCGGGGCAGCGTGCACCCAAAGGTCAGTAAAAGGACTGGATCAGGGAAGAGCCTACTCGATGTTATGGCACAAGGATGAAACTGCGATAGAACACACCAGAGAATAAAAACAAAGGGTGATGGCAACAGGATCACAAAATCAGTGCCAGAACTAGCACAGCTTCCTGCAGGATTAAGTGTTAATTGTAAGCAAGATGCTTTCAGTAAAACTCCCTAATGGCTGGTCAGAATACAGGGTATTAAGGATGTTTTGCACAGTAAATAGACAGGGATTAAAGACACCACAAGGAATCTGATATTAGATAGTTAAGTTGAGAGATGGTTCAAACTTGAGTGTTACCCATGCAACTATGTGATGCTAAAAATGAACCTGGGACAGAACAAAAGGCTGTCAAATGTGGTGTAGATACATGAGGAGAAGAAGAACAAGAGGCACAAATGGAAAGAACAGACCAAAGGCCATCAAAAAGAGGATGTTGATCCTGTTTCCTTACAGACTGGAGAACTGCAGAAAAAAAGTGGTCAGATATGTGTTATGTTTCCAAATTTAAAATAGTTGTGGTGCCATGACTCAATTCTGACAGGTTAGAAAAATGCAAAATTGTCAGTCACTTTTAGTTAATAAAAATAGTTTGGTTAATGGAGCCTTTGGGCATAAATCTGGAAGCTAAGAACGTACTGCCCTCATGCATGGGACCAGCCAAGGTGCATCTATACCACACAGAAGAGCAAGGGAAGCAAACATATTCTGAGCCTCCCGTCCTTTAGCCCCAGGAATATACCAGGATATCACGTTAATGTCACAGCGCATCTGCACGTGCACTAATGCGACTTAGCTATTTGCACCTAAATTTAACGTGCCTTAATGCACGTTAGCATGTTCACATGTAGACATGCACCTAAATCGCCTTAATGCACCTTAAGCAAAGGCAAGTGAAATTTAGGAGTGCGTAAATACACATGTAGACACGCCCAGAGTGGCTCAAATTTACAAAGGCTCATGTATCAAATCACTCTAAAGAAGTACTGTAAAATATTCCTCACATTCAGAATTAATGTTAAGGGCTTCCTGGACCTATGAATAACATCATCCACATCATCAGAATGAGATTGTACCAAAAATACCTTGTTCTTAGGAAGTGGAGACATTTCACTTCAGGGTTTCCTTAATTTTTCTATATATCAAGTGATAAATTAGAACTTAACGCAACTCTTACAGCTAGTAAAGAGCCAAGGATTCCAGGCTAAGATGAGAACAAAAAACAAGTTTAATATCTCCATCACCTTACCTCAGCCACCAAAAGAATTCCATACTGTATAAACCTTTCGACTACCTCATGGCAAACTTGATATAACATCTGGCAGGGCTGGATGAAAATAAAAGAAGAAGTATAGTAAAGAAATAAACAAACAATTCTGTATAGTTCCCTCCCTTCCTGCTCAATGAAACTGTTACTTGGCATATAAGCAAGTTCCCATTGCCCCTGTCCCTACTTCATTACTGCATTTTTTATTCCTCGGTTGCACCGACATATGCTTCAAAATTCTAGGGCAGTGGGATACTTAAATTAGATAATACAAAGAGTATGAGAAATGCACATTCCTGTACTGGTAAGACGACAGATCAGCTGACCAAAACAGTTATTTTCCATCTTGCTATGATTTTGTTAAATGAATCAATACTAATATCATTGAACAGCTTTTAACAAAAGACTTCATAAATCTGTAAGGTAAGATCTAAAAACTCCCCTACAGTTTAAACAAACAATTAAGAAGCTTAGAACCAAAAGTGACTTCCTTCCCAATGGTTATAATCTGGTAGGGAATGTCCAGCGGATTAAGGAAACAACCTGTCATTAAGTCTAAAGGCAGAACGAGCACAAGGTTACTAATAAGCTCTATTTCACAAACCATACTGCTGTCGTGAAGAAAAAATAAACGGTTTATGCTCAATTAACAAGCAAACAAAAAAAGCCAAACATCCCATGGTGCACACAGTGAGGAGGAGGGGGTGGGGAAACAGAAATGCTTGCCAGCGTGAGAAGTAAATCA